AAGAGAAGAGAAGAGAAGAGAAGAGAAGAGAAGAGAAGAGAAGAGAATAATAGAGTTGGAAGGGACCTTGGAGGTCTTCTAGTCGAACTCCGTGATTAGGCAGGAAACCCTATACCATTTCAGACAAATGGTTATCCAACATCTTCTTAAACATTTCCCGAGCATTCAGAATAGTACTTGGAACTCAAAGACAAAGAAAACCCTGTTTGCTTTGCAAATACTTTGAATGTTATTGTGAGCTGCCCAGAGTTATGTTTTAAGATGGATGACCATACAAATCAAGGAAGGAAGGAAGGAAGGAAGGAAGGAAGGAAGGAAGGAAGGAAGGAAGGAAGGAAGGAAGGAAGGAAGGAAGGAAGGAAGGAAGGAAGTTAGTTCATATGAAAGTCAGCAAGACTATAAGACTGCAGTTTTGGTGCATATAAGGTTATGAAATGGGTAATGACGGTGGGGGGATGGCATAAATGTCCTACATTTAGTACTGAAAGCACCAGAACGTGTTTGCGCTGCAGTGCACAGTCCTTTTGACAAAAGCAAGGTGGATTTGGCTAAGCCTATCTTCATAAAATCGCCTGCTGAAATTCTGTGGTTCATAAGTTCACCGGCTGCCTTAACTGACAACATACCAGAGAGCTCAGTTAGGCCTGAAACAAAGACAGCTGCATTACAGAAACATCCTGACCTTATAAGGATCCCTTTTTGTTGTTATTATTGTTAAAGGTCAAACTCATCAAAAGCTGTCAAAAAACCGCATAATCACAGAGACTAGCGAGTGCACGCATTCGAATAGCAATCAGGAGCCGCCATTCAGACTGTCTGGCATCTGGTATATGCGCCCTCTACTTTTCTAGTCTCCAGGTAGACAATATCAGACTGTCCCACCAGTGGTGGGATTCAAAAATTTTTTACTACTGGTTCTGTGGACATGGCTTGGTGGGCGTGGCAGGGGAAGGATACTGCAAAATCCCCATTCCCTCCCCACTCCAGGGAAAAGTTACTACAAAATCCCCATTTCTTCCCGATCAGCTGGGATTCGGGAGGCAGAGAATAGATGGGGGTGGAGCCAGTCAGAGGTGGTATTTATCGGTTCTCCGAACTACTCAAAATTTCCTCTACCGGTTCTCCAGAACTTGTCAGAACCTGCTGAATACCACCTCTGTGACTCACAGTTATTAGCAAACCCTTTGTGTCATTGAAGTCATAAAATCAGTATGAAAAAGACTGTTAATAGTTTTTCACTACAATGACTCTCCATAGGCTAAATTCATATGTTTGTTGCTTATTCAATAAAGCCTGGATAAACAAAACAATGGTTTGATAATATATCCTATCTCAGAAGGGATCAGTCTATCAATACCTATGCTGAGAAGCAGAAGTATGCCATTGAGCCTATGCCCAGAATGTGAATTTCTTAAAGACATTTGACTGGCCACTGTGGAAACAAGGATATCAGCTTGGATCCATCTTTTGATTAATGCAACAAGATTCTTCTGACATCCTTTGTAAAATATCTATTTAGCGAGGATTTATATAGGAGGCAGTATTTGCAATAAAAGCAAAAATATGAGATGGATTAAAACAGGAGAAAAGATAGTTTTGATCAAATATTGTCAATTGTTATTTGGTTCGATGTCTTCAAAGTGGCATTTCCCTCTTTCGTACGGTTGTCGTTTTGATGTGCTGAATTTCATTCTGTTGCTGTCTCCAGAAGAAAAACAAATACAGCAAAACAATGTCCACAAAAAAATGTTATTGTTAAAGTTTTGAGCTGATGCGCTGATCAATCATAAATGAACTACTCAACGTGCACGTACATTAAAATAGAAAAAAAAAATGGCTGAGAAAGGATAAAATAGAACCTGAATTATCCATTTGAAGAATTGCACTACTGCTGTTCATATTCTAATAATCTAATATGAATAATAGCATACCTTTATAATATAATGCTTTCTAAGAAAGCTATTTGAATACTACAAATAATCAAAGATATACTGATAACTAAATAGTGATTAATAGGAAGAGAGTGAGGAAGGGCTGGTTCACACCAAATTGTCATTGCCATCACCATCACCATCACCATCACAAATCATTGTGATCTAGTTGATGTTCAGATTAGTCATGATTTAGAAATCCCAATGTCTGGGATCATACAATACGCTAAAACTGAATCAAACGGAACTCATTTTGGCTTAGGGACATGTTGAAAAAACATTTTTATCCCCACAAACTTTCATAAACTTATTTCCAGACTTTCTCCTGGGAATAATCATCAGTATTATGCAACACAACTTTCATACGATATGGAGTTTACTAATATTTTTTGTAACTATTCTAATATTAATATTCACTAAGTTTGCATTACTATTACATCACCCATCTCCTCCCACTTATGACTGTATGACTGTAACTTATTGCTTGTATCCTTATGATTTGTATTGATTGTTTCCTAGTATGATTTGATTGCTTATTTGCACCCTATGACTATCATTAAGTGTTGTATCTTATGATTCTTGATGAATGCATCTTGTCTTTTTATGTACACTGAGAGCATATGCACCAAAGACAAATTCCTTGTGTGTCCAATCACACTTGGCCAATAAAGAATTCTATCTATCTATCTATCTATCTATCTATCTATCTATCTATCTATCTATCTAGCTATCTAGCTATCTAGCTATCTAGCTATCTAGCTATCTAGCTATCTAGCTATCTAGCTATCTAGCTATCCTGTAATCAACAGCCCATTGGATCCAAGCAAGAGGTTTCTGGCATGACAGCCTCTTTTAAAACCATTCAACAGATTGTCAGGTCCAGCTTTTCTAAGTTGTATGTTTTGTCCATCAAAAAGACAATGCAATTGGATTCCACAGTCCACTTTTTTTCCCCTGACGCCATCAACCAAAGGCTCTGAGATCAGCTTCTACATGTTAATTACTTTCCAAGTAGCATCATTTTCTAATGCTGGGGAATTCTTCCTGGTTGACAGTGATAAATATGGCCAACATCAGATTAAAATAACTAGCTGATAAACAAATTGCTCACTAAAAATAAATACCGGATTACAACTTTTGGAAAACTGGAATAGTTATGGTAAGAGCACCCCCGTGTGGA